AGTCTGGGCAACAGAGTGAGACTCTAACTCAAAAAAACAAAACAAAACAAAACAAAAAACTACTGTGCGTCCATATTTTCATTTTTTCTTCCCTCAAAAGGTTCCTAAATTCTTTTTCTTTTTCTCCCCACAAATTCTGAGGACAATCAATGTTTCATATGTTTGGTTCAGTTTATTTTTCATGGCTTTCCAGAAAGTTTACACCCGTCCCTTAGGCTCTAATGTGTTTCAAGTGGCTCACAATTCCCTAGGCCATGGAGGAGGATGTTTTTCAGAAATGCCTCTGGGGTGAAGCAAAGGGATCCATGGAGATAAGCGGGTGCCAGGGTGTTGGCCTTGAGCTTCACCTTCAGGAATAAAAGAGGACAAGGCCCCACGCCTTTGAGAGGCTGAGGTGAGTGGATTGCCTGAGCCCGCGGGTTCGAGACCCGCCTGGGCAACTTGGCGAGACCTCATCTCTACAATAAATCAAAAAATATTAGACGGGCGTGGTAGCGTGCGCCTGTAGTTCCAGCTCCTTGGAGGGCTGAGGCAGAAGGATCGCAGGAGCCCAGCAGGTCGAGGCTGCGGTGGCCGGGAGCGGCCACTGCACTCCAGTCTGGGCGACAGAGTGAGACTCCAACTCAAAAAAAAAAAAAGAGAACAAGGCATTTAGATCATTGTGGGAGAATGATGGTCAGCAACTGTCAGCCCGGGACCCCAGCTGTGATGACGTTTAAAGCCTTGTACATCTTTTGTTGCTGATTGCATTTGTGTCCTTGCATCTTCCTCTCTGGTGATTGAATGTAAAACTCTTGCTGGGTGTGGTGGCTCACACCTGTAATCCCAGCACTTTGGGAGGCAGAGGTGAGAGGATTGCCAGAGTTCAAGACGAGCCTGGGCAACTTGGCGAGACCTTGTCTCTACAATAAATTAAAAAAACGAGGCTGGACGTGGTGGCTCATGCCTATAATCCCAGCTCTTTGGGAGACGGAGATGAGAGGATTGCCTGAGCTCACAGGTTCGAGACCAGCCCAGGCAACTTGGCGAGACCTCATCTCTACAGTAAACCAAAAAATTAGCCAGGCGTAGTGGCACATGCCTGTTATTCCAGCTACTTGGAAGGCTGAGGCGGAAGGATCACCTGAGCCCAGCAGGTCAAGGCTGCAGTGGCCATGATTGTGCCACTGCATTCCAGCCTAGGGGATGGAGTGAGGCTCAAAAAAAAAAGGTAAGACTCTCATGAGAGGTGAGTGCTTATTTAGGGAGTACGTTGCTAGGACAGGAGTAGCTAGGACAACTGCAGCTGTTTCACATTTGGACCTTGGGGAGAGGAAGCCCTGGGGCATATGGAGAAAGTGGTGACAGTGCTGGGTAGGAAAAGAAAAGGGTGAGCCTGGACTGAAAGGAGAGAACAGGATGTTGACCTGGGTTGGGAAAGGCCTTGGAAGTTGGAAGCCCAGGATTTGGACAAAAAGCCCTTGAGTTAGGCCACATTCCTTTTAGGTGCCTCTTCAAAGTAGGATTGCCAGATTTAGAAAACTGAACAAACAAAATACTCAGGACACTGGGTAAATTTGAATTTCAGATAAACAACAAATCGCTTTTTAGTGGAAGTATTTTATCTGGTAATCCTACTTCAAAGGCTGGCTTTCTGCAGAAAGTCGCCCTTCATTTTGTTTTCCTTCTTTCCTTTTTACCTTTTATCACCTTGAGTTAGCCATTATCTGTCATGAGGGCTATTGCGAAGGCTTCCTGACTGATCTTCTGGCTCCTAGTCTCTCCACACTCCAGGTCAGTCTGCATTCTAAAATACCAGTCAGATGACATAAAATTCTTGCTTGAGCCCAGTGTGGTGGCTCAGGTCTGTAATCCCAGCACTTTGGGAAGTGGAGGCAGGAGAATTGCCTGAGCCCAGGGGTTTGAGACCAGTCTGGGCAACTTGGTGAGACCTCATCTCTACAATAAAGCAAAAAATTAGCCTGGCATGGTGGCACACACCTGTAGTTCCAGCTACTTGGAAGGCTGAGGTGGAAGGATCGCCTGAGCCCAGCAGGTTGAGGC